CCAGCTAGAAGGAGGCAGAGTGGGGAGTAGAAGCTAGGTCATTTCTGTGTGGCTTTGCATTATAATATGGTCTTTATAGTGGCAGGCTTCTCCCTCTTTTTGTTTTTATTTGGCTGAGGGTAAGATGAAGTGTACACTCAAGAGTCCAGAGGTACGAATGACTGGGCAGTTTAAAACTGAAGAGCCGAGGGCCGAGCCCGTGGCGCACTCGGGAGCGCATCAGTGCTCCCGCCGCGGGTTTGGATCCTATATAGGGATGACCGGTGCGCTCACAGCACTCACTGGTTGAGCGCGGTGTGGCCGGTCTCAAAAAGGCCAAAAAAAAAAAAACTGAAGAGCCGAGAGACAGTCTAGTGGAAGTGACTGTTGACTGTGTGTTGAGCCCAGTCAGCCAAATAAATAGAAAAGGCTGAGGACTTGGTGTGTGCTGAAGGCCTGAAAGCCAGAGGTTGCTGGGGGGTGAGAACCAAAGTCAGGCTCCGTCTCCCTTAATTCAGTGTCTCGGGTTAAGGGCCAAGAATGGTTTGAAATGGCAGCAGATGTGAAGACTAGACTGTTGTCAGGGAAATATACTTTTAGAATGCACAAGTACCCTCAGTTTACAGCAAGATGTTCGGAGGTCCTACTTTAATGAGGAGATGATCGTGCAAATGGGAGCTACTAAGGCCCGTTGAACAGACTGCTCTTTGGGAAATTACATTTGCCCCCCACTATCGTGTTCTCTGTCATTTATTTGCCTAACAATCTCGACAGACGCAGGGCAGATGTTACTCCCAGCGCCCAGTTGGTAGCGCGGATTCTGAATGTAGCAGGACCTGTGTGCCCGTTCTCTGAACTGCTTTTCTGTCTGCGTCTAGTAGATTAGTTCCTTCTGAGGAACAATGTTTTCCACCAGCCAAGCGCCTTCTTTGAACCATACTTGAAAAGAAACTTTCAAAGGCGGCAGCAGCCTCCCCAAACACCTTTTTCCAAAGTGCTTTCCAAAGGGAGCTGTCTTCCCACCTCTCAGGTTTGCTTCTAAAGACCCGGCTCAAAGGCGGTGGCTTTGTGGGACCATGACGGAGGGAAGGATGGAGGTTGGCCTCTGGAACCACGTCTGCCTCACTGATAACAGATTGTGCTGAGTTGCCAAAAGGAGTTTTCCATTGTATGATCTTAGTTCCAATTTGTGATTTGTGACCTGTTCCAATTGTTGAAGTCACACATCTTGACTTTTCTTTTTTTCCTTTTTTGGAACTGATGTTTAGAGCTTGTTTGAGTTGGATCAAATGCTGTTTTAACAGTTGTTGTAATCGGAAATGCTGTCAATTATCAACCTGATGGTGGTTTTTCTTTCAAAAATATTTCTCTAAACTCTCTCAAAATATCGAAATTTGGGGCCGGCCTGTGGCTCACTCGGGAGAGTACAGTGCTGATAACACCAAGGCCACGGGTTCGGATCCCATATAGGGATGGCCGGTTCGCTCACTGGGTGAGCGTGGTGCTGACAACACCAAGCCAAGGGTTGAGATCCCCTTACCGGTCATCATTTTTTTAAAAAAAATGTCGAAATTTGGCTTCTTGGTGGGAAGTCATTCAGTGAAGTTGCTTAATTGCCGAACTTCAGTTTCCCCATCTGGAAAATGGAGATTTTAAAAAGTGCCTTCCTTACGGGGTTATTTTGAGCTGATAGGTGTAAAATGCTTGTGACAGTTGGCTTGGCGGATGTTAGCCATTATTGTTGTTGAGAGTGGTTCTGTCCCGCTAACTTCCCTCCCCCAACCACCACCCTCAAAAATATAAACATTAAAAACAGTTGTTTAGTGAACAGTTTTCCTGTTCATTCTCTGACTTACCAGAGTGGACTGGGCTCATTTTCAGGGTTGGGTGCCTCCGTAGAGCTGGAAGAAGCTCAGTCCTTGCTTCCACTTTTTGGGGAGATAAAGGGGGGGGATGATACCCAACAGCATATGATAACACGATTACATCTGGGAGGGATAGGGTTTGCGTCTTTCTCTACACCCCCTCATACCCCCCAAAAAACGCAGGACCCAAGGACAGGAAAATATAAAAGTTCTTCAAATATAAACTGCCCCCTCCCCTCTGCCTGCCCAGCCCTGTACAGTCCTGTCTCATGACATGCCAAAGCCCTTCCATACATGCAGAGAGGCCTCTGTTCATCAAGTTTGGGTGCCAGGAAAGGCAGCCTGAATGCTGATGCCCCAGGCTTCCAGCAGGTTTTTTATCAGTGTAGAGTTGTTCTGTTGGCCCATGGTTGATGTTTGTGGTGTTGAGGGCGGGTGAGGGAGGCAGGAGCTACCTTCAGTGTCATGGGAGGGTGAGAGGGAACTTGCTCTGGGCCACCCACGGGGCTTCTGAGCACCCCAGCCATGGTTACCTGATGGCCTGGCTGCCAAGCCTTGAACCCTGGGAATGGCTACATGAAATCACGGCAGATCCCTTTTCCTCATAACCAGAGGGTGCCGAACACAGGATTGGGCCCTATGAAAAGATCCCACCTGTGGGAAGCCTGTGACCACATGTTTTGCTAAAGGGTGTGGGGAAGGGGAGGGGCAGCGACTTTTCATTTTTTTCTTCAACTACCAAGACCCTGACCCTTTGATTATTTGGTAGAGGAAGTAAGCTACAGCTAGGAACTCTTTTATTACCCTTGCCTCCCAGGGATTGTGACAGTTTTAGTTCTGAGTAGGCCAGAGTGACTGGGGCTCTGAGCCTACTCCCTGCCTTCCTGGCTGTGGGGAAGGGGTAGCAGCCAGAGACCCCCTGAGGTGGCTTGTGGTTCGTCTGGCTTGACTGTACTACGTTACCCTGTTGGTAAGGGGCTTGGTCCACTGCCCACCCCACCTCCTGCAGATGCCACCCACACTGCAGCAGGCCCAGATCTGTGGCCAGAGGTCGCACTGCAGCGTGAAATAAAAAATAAATACAGAGAAGCCAGTGGTATTATTCTTTTGGTTAAACATTTGTAGAGCACCTACTGTGTACCAGGCACTAATCATTTGAAGTAAGAGGCCTTGGACTAATGAGCTTTGAGAAAATAATGCTGGTTTATTTTTTATTTTATTTTTTTAAATATATCTTTCTAGTCTTATTTGGCATACAGGTACGTGATGGGTGGAAAGATTCTTTGCTCTGTGCAGATGTGGACTGAGATGCAGGCTAGCCGATTGTTTCTAGAATGCCTGCCATAGATGGCCCTGACTCCTACATTTCATTTCCCCTCCCCACTATTAATGGATTTGGGGGAGGAAAAAGTAAAGTGAGAAAGGACCCTGTTTTGGAATATAACTCTTACCATTTACCTACAATAATTTATGCAATAATTAGTAATCTTCCTATGTTCTTTACAGTACAAAGGGTGGGCGTCTAGTGGGTAGAGGCCAGGGATGCTGTTAAAAATTTTGCGATGCTCCACACAATGAAGAATTATCTGGCCAAAAATGTCAATAATGTGGAGGTTGAGAAAACCTGATGTGAGCTATCCTTGCTAGAGTATACCACAAATGTTCAAATGCTGGGTCCCAGTGGGTCTGAGCTGGGGTGATGCTCCCCTTCACCCCCAGGAAGTTTGGAGGTGGGGACCATTATTGACACAGTTGGTCTGGGATATGTGGGACAGTCCTTCACAACAAAGAGTTGTTCCACCCCAAATACCAACAGCAGCGCCTGCTTAGAAACATTGGCTCTGTTCCTGTGGATCCTGGTGTTCCAGGCAGAAAGCTGACAGTGACATCCCTGATCCCCACCCAGGAGACCCCACTGTGGTGGACTGGCTGTCTAGATTAGAGAACCCTGCTGCTGTGGCTGGCAGCCCCAGGACACAGGGCTGCAAAAGTCTGTCAAGTTCTTAGGTCGGTGGCCTGTGTCTTCACAAACCAGAGGTGTCCTCGTTAGTGGCCAAGGGTAGAGGGTGTTAGCACCAGGAATACTCCCGAGGCCCAGGGTTTTGTGTGTAAACCTTCAGACAGCATTGTTTTTATTTTAAGTGCACAAGCATTTCTCATCCAGCATCATTTGACATGCAGATGATCACAGATTTTTAAAGGCTGTTGTCATGGTTTTGTCTCTGAAAGATTGCTATGTGCTGAGGGAAGCTTTGAAGCCAGCTCTGGGACCTCAGTCCTGGCAGGCTCAGGATTCAAAATGAGATAAGAAAAGCAATTCTGAGAGTTGTCTGTCAGTGGTTCTAGGCCTTTCTAGTTAACCATTTAGCACCACTCCTGCTCTGAGGTCTGGGGTTCCCATAGGACTCCAGTGGAAACAGTTGTTTTTCTAAGTGTGGTATTTTGGGGGGTGTTGGGATGAGGCAGAGAATTGATCAACCTTTCTGTGATCAACCTATATGGGGGGTTAAGGATCTAATGATTTACCTCTCCGAGCAGCTTCTTAGACAAAACAATACTATTCCCTAAAAAGTGAAACATTAATGATGAGATTTCAGGCTGGGTGGAACATATTTGGGGGTGGGAGAGAGGCAGCAGTGAAGAGTGGGGGTGAGGCAGATCCACTAAGCTGCATAGCACCACTTGCGAGGCGGGCCCCAGGGCACCCTTGCCCCGTGAGGCGCAGGGTCTCCCCCTGCTTGAGAGCCGGGTCCTGTTGCCATTGGGCACCGTTCGGCAGAGCAGTCCCTCCCTCACCTGTTTCCCGCTTGTAATGCATTTTGCTGGGGCATGGGAAGTGGTTTTTGTTTTGTTTTGCTTTGTTTTTAATTGGACACAAACTATATTGTGAACCAAACATATAGAACACCTCTGACAGGAAATTGGAACTCCCCAAAATGTAGGCAGCATGCGATGCGTGTGGGGGCGTAGGAAGAGATTTCTTCATGCCATGGATTTAAGGAGGGCCTCCTGGCAGGAGGCAGACTGAGGGCAGAGAAGATGGAGCCTGTGGTGAGGGGCCGTGGTTTGGCGGGAGTTTGCACTTCCAATTGTCTGTGTCATTTTGGCAACTTGATTGATTTTACTGAGCCTCATGAAGTCTCTTTTCTTTTGCAGACAGAGATTGCGAAGAGACTGAACACAATTTTAGCACAGATCATGCCTTTCCTGTCACAAGAGGTAAGACCTTCTTTGATTGTTTCCTCTTTTCCTTTCCAAATCAGCCCAGTGGCCGGCTGGGTCTCACTGGCACACAAGCCCCAGCCCAATCCATTCATACTAACAACCTGGGGATTTACAGAGCCCTCTCCAGCCAGTTTGGGGGCCACATTAGTCATGGGCCACGTCAGAGGGACCATTTGCTCCTCCTCCTCCTTCTCGTCTACCGCCTGAGACCAGAGAGGAGGGTCTTGGCCTACAACTGGACAGTCATGGGCAGTGGGGCCTGTGCCCCATATCCCACACCTGGCAACATCCAGGAGCAAGGAAGGCTGGCTGGTCAGGGCCAGACCCTGACACAGGGAACCAAAACCCAAAGAGGACCTCAACACCTAGTCAGAGTCTTATCACCTTTGGAGCACACTATGGGGCTGATAGTGGGGACTGAAAGGAAGCATCTCCAAGGTGGCTCCTGGTGCAGGGCAGACAGATGGGCTGACCTTAGAGGTCCTCGTTTCTGTCCAGGCTGATCTCACTCCAACAGAGGCAGGCCCTGGCCCTCCACTCCCCCTCAACAACTCCCTCGTGGAGTCCTGGGTCTCTGAGGAAGAATGGTGACCAACAAGAGATAGAATTAATATAAAAATCAGATATGGCAATGGCTACAGAGCTTGTAGCCCAGTAGGGGAGACAGCAGTGTATATGGCTGGTACTACCTCAAGGCCAAAGGGGAATGAATGAGTCAAATTTTTTAATAGATTTTTTTTTTAAGAGCATTTTTAGGTTCACAACAAAATTGTTTGGAAGGTATAGACACTTCCCATTGCTTCCCCCACTGTCAGCATCTCATACCAGAGCGGTACGTTTGTTACAACTGAGGAAGCTTCGTTGACACATCATCACTCAAAGTCCATAGTTTATATTAGGGTTTATTTTGCCACTTTGTCTTTCTTTTCCTATCTATCTAGATTCATACTTTTTCTTTCTAGATGGAAAAAGATTAGGTATATATGGACACAGATGCAGTCATGCGCCGCATAACGACTTTTTGGTCAACCACGGACCTTATGTACAGTGGTGGTCCCATGACATTATAAAGGCTGTACCATGCAGCCGAGGTGTGTGGTGGGTTATTTCATCTAGGATTGTGTAAGTGCACTCTATGATGTTTATACAACTACGAAATCACCTAATGTCACAGTTCTTAGAGCGTATTCCAGTCGTTAAGCAACGCATGGCTGTACTTTTCTTCCAATTTCTTTGAATGTAAATTGTAGACAACCTGACCATTCACCGCCAATTACTAAAAACAGGGACACCTTCCTATGTGATCATAATACTGTTACCATGTTTAGAAAATTAATATTCTGTAATAATCATCTAATATCCAACTCATATTCAAATGGCATGGAATAAAGGTTTCTTTATTTGGTTGGGGGAGATGGTAGACTAATAGCCATCTTTTGGCACTTATCTATATCTTAGAACTTAAAACAATTAAAGGAAGTTTTGCTTACAAGAGTAATACATGCTCATTGAAGAAGGTTTAAAGAAGAAAGTAAAATCACCTGACACCCATCCCACCTGTGTCCTGTGCCTGTTTCATTGGGCTTTTTCTGTCTTTTTCTGGGGGCCCTCCCTCTGCTGGGCAGCCACCAAGGTGCCTCCTCTCTGTCAGAGAGGGTGGCCGCTTCTAACACATGCCCTGTTCCCTCCAGCACCAGCAGCAGGTGGCGCAGGCTGTGGAACGTGCCAAGCAGGTCACCATGACGGAGCTGAACGCCATCATCGGGGTACGTGGACTCCCCAATCTGCCTCTCACCGTGTGTATAGCCCTTTTATTCCTCTCATTTACTGTAATCAGAAATTGACTCTGACCTTAGCTGACCTCAAAGAATGGCGGCCCCAGGGCTCCAGCTTCCCCAAATAGCCCATGTGCTTGGACCCATTTGGGGCTCTCTCCCCATTGGTTCCCCAATTGCCTCCCAGTCCCTGAATTAAAGGGGTGTCAGACATGCCTCAAATCCACCTCAAAGCTCATCAACTGCATTCTCCCCTGGCTTTTGGTGCCCCTGCCATTGAGGAGGGGGTGGGGGCCTGGGGATTACTTTCAAGGCCAGGCTGATGGAGCAGTACTCGGCCGCCTCCCCACGCCTCCCTCGAGCCTGTCTGCCTCCTTCCTGGAAGAGGTCTGCCCTTCTTTGGCCACCTGGGGTCAGAACTGTCTCTGCTGTACTGTCATGTGCAATGTGCTGTGGAATTTGGGTTTGGGTCTTGCAGTGCCATGCACTGAGCTGCCCAGCTGAGCATTCACCATGTGCCCTTCTGAATTCCAGCTGGGGTACCTACACAGGGCTTCCTGTCCTTCTAGAAGTCCCATATTACCCAAACACAGGAAATAATACGCAAGAGTGCTATGTGGGGCCTGCTCTGGTGTGACCCCTCAGTGGAAAGTGGGGGCCAGATCTCTCCCCTTTGGCAAGCCTACCGGGCTTGTGTCTTGAGTGCATTTCTCAGATTCAAATTGCACCTTTCTCCTGCTTGCTGCTTTGGTGTGAGGCTGGGATGTTGAAGATAAGCATCTGAAGGGAAACAGTTTTTTCAGTGTGATCTTGGGCAAGGCTGTTTCCTTAAGGTGTACCTGTTCACCTTTCTTCCCTAAAATGAAGGGGGTAGGTGAGGTCACGTCACTGCTTCCCAGCCAACAGGCAGCTGGTTCAGTGTCCCCCAGGAGCTTGGGCAGTACAATTCCAGGGCACTTGTCACAAAGTTCTTTTCCATAGGTGTGGGGTGGGACTGGGAATCGGTGTTCCCGAAGTTTCCCAGATCATTCTGAAGCATAGTCAGGCTTGGGAAGCAGTGGTCTGGTTGGCTGCGGTCTCTTCAACCCTAACATTCTGGGATCCTGCTTGGTCTTCATTTCTCTTTTTGTTCTTATGTAAGGTCAATATTTCAAGGTAGAACTGAAGACCCCAGAATTTCCTTCTGCTTGGTGGGATAAATGATGACTCTTGGCTCTCCATTCTGCGGCAGAAACCTGGAGGCCTGTGTATTAGTCATGGTTTTTCCCCATGTGACCTTGGGCAGGCCCCTTCTCTTTCTTGGGCCTCAATTTCTGTATCTGTAAAAGGAGACGGTGGACCAGCTCATGTCTCTGGACCCTCCCAACTCCCACTGGAAATGCTGGGAGACTGGAGTTAGTGTGATAGTGATGATTGTGGATACCCACCCCTCTATCATTCTGTCAGGATGGCTACAGAGTCCTTGGTGAAAGCAGCCAGTGGGTCCATCCTTCTGGTGTGAGCTTGCATGGAAGCCGCTAAGTGCTGCTGGGGGAGGGGATGGAAGCATTAGCCTAGTGTGAATCCTGGCAGCGATGGGGGAGAAGGAGACTGCTACCCACTGTGGGAGGGGCAGAGAGGAGTCTGTACATGAGAACAAGAGGAAGTGTTCCGTGCTGGAAGGCAGCACCTCCAGAGGGGAAATCACAGTAACTCAAAGTTTGAAGTGTCATCAGAGGTCATCTAGCCCAGAGTTCTTCAACCTCAGCACTACTGAAATTTGGGGCCAGATAATTCTTTGTTGTGCTGTGCATTGTAGGGTGTTCAGCAGCATCCCTGGCCTCTACCCCCTGGATGTCAATAGCACCCGTCCACATGCACTTGTGACTCTTGAAAATGTCTCTAGACCTTGCCAAATGACAGTGGGGGACAAAATGGCCCCTGCTGGGAACAACTGATCTAGCCCAATGCCCTCATTTTATCAAGAGGGGACGTGATTTATGATGTTTAGGAGTAAAGCCAGGTCAGAGGCCCAGGGGACTGATTCCCAGCCCAGGGCTTTCCCCCACCCCGGTGCACCCTAGTGTGTGGCCTGTGTTCTTGTCTCAGTGGCCAGCTCCCAGCCGGGTGGCTCTGCTGGTAGTGGTAGAAGGTATGCAGTGGTGGGTGGGACAACATAGTGAGTTCTGTTCTCCAAAATTGCTCCTTTTCCAGCACTTTGTCCCTGCCCCTTTCTAGGCTTCTCCTTAAGGTTTCCAGGCCAAGCCCTCCCAGCCCTGCAGTGGCCACAGTGGGGTCTCCTGTTCCCCTCTGCCTCCATCTTTGGAATTAAAATCTTCTTATGAAAATAATTTTTTTTTTAAGTTTTAAGAAAGGAGTAAAATTGGGGAGGAAACACTGCTGGGATTTAGCTCCACTTCCTTTAAGTAGTATTTAGGAAGCTACAAGTTAGGTCAAGGCAGCTCGAGGCAGATATTGGAATTCAATTAAAGCCAATGAGTGGGGCCTGTGACCCCCATTCTCGAGGTAATTGCTTCTCTGGCTCTGAGTGAATGCAGCCCTCGCCCTGTCATTAAGCAGGCAGCCGTCTAATCGTTGCGCTTGGCAGAGTCTCACAAGGCAGGAATTACAGACAGCTGGGGTGTGCTCGCCCTCGGAGCCCTGCCTCACTGCACTCCAGCGGAGGCTGTGCTGATCAGGTCAGGGTGTTTCTTATCTCCTCCTCAAGGAGAGAGGAGAGTGAGCCTGCAGCTGAACTGCCTCTGCAGTGAGGTGGGGGGTATGGCAGGGCTGCGGGAGGGCCAGGGCTGATGGCAGAGTGGTGGGCATCCTGGCCGGCAGGAAAGGACAGAGCCCAAGAGACTCTTGGCTGCAACTAGTGGTTACCCCCATGGTTCCATTGGGTTTGCCTCTGCAAGGAGAAGCAGCCTGGCAACCTGGTCTGCGAGTTTGGAGGGCTTTCGCAAAGGCACTTCGTTTCTCTGGGCCTCAATTTCCCCATTTGCAAAGAGATGGAAAAGGACTAGGCAGGTTTCATATGTCATGTCTGTTCCAGTGAGCTGTTTATGGTTCTCTTGGGCATGCAGTTTAAGGATTCTGAGGTTGTGACTTGGCTCCACTCAGAAATCAGTGAGATATGTCTGGCCATGGGCATGGATGTAGCCAGTGGCATATTTATCACAAGGATTAGAGTATTTCTGGAATTTTCCTGAGAAGAAAGGCCAGATCCAAGGTCCAGGTGGTGTACATGGAGAGGGGAAGGAGGCCAAGCCCATCCCTTTCCCTGCTAGTCCACAGGGGACTTGGGTGTCCACCTAGCAAGACAGACCGGAAGGTTATCTTGCTTATAGCCAGGGTCTGGCAATATTCAGTTTCTATAGACCTATTACATTATATGCCCTTTCCTCTTGTATCCAGATTATTGGGGGATCTTTAGAAGGACAAGATTCCTGAGCATGAAAAGGGAAATTTGACCCCTGGTCAGCAACTTGCAGAAGGCAGTGTCTGTCTTTCCCAGGCAGTCTAAGGGCCGTGTGAACTGATGTATCAGCCATTTCTAGAACCCTCTTCTTACATTGCTGTATGGTGGCCCAAGGTCTTTTCTCTGGGAGGTGTAGAGGCTCTCACCTTCTTGCCCACTGACAATTTGGTATGCATTCCCTTAGGAATTATTAGTGGAAGAGATGTTGTAAAGCATTGGCTTATTTTTTTTCTTCTAAGTGGGAGGGAGGGGAGGAAGAGAGAGGTCGTAGCCTGTCACAGACCACACAAGGTATTTTGAAGCCGTACCTCAGGTTCTGGCGTTCACTCCAGGATGTTGATGGGCTAGATTCAGTTGATTGAATTTTACATGAGGGGAAAGGAGGGTTAAGAGAATGTCTTAGAATCCATCCATTTCTTTCAGCCAGCTGGTCATGGTGCAGAGGGGAGTGCTGGGTCTGAGTCCAGGTTCTGGTTGCTGCTGACTTAGTGTAAGGGCTCAGCCTCCCAGTCCTGTTCCCCATCTTTGAAGTGGGGATAGCGAGGGTTGTTATGAGCACTAAAAGCTATCACCCGCCCCTAAAGTTCAATTTTAAGTGGAGCTGTGGTGCCCACCAAGCTGAGCTGTGTGAGAGAAGGAATGATTGGAGGCCTGGGCCGCTCTCGCTGTCCTCGAGGGCAGAAAGTGTTCATTTATGCACTTAGGACCCTGTCGTTGCTTCCTCTGGTGGGAACCCTCAGTGGGTCTTGGCCCTGGGAATGTTTAGACAACTTCACTAAGTTTAACTCAAATTGTGAACCTGAGAAGTGAAGCATTAAATCTCTAGCAAAAGCATGAAGCATGATGTGTGTAATCCAATTACACTTACTCTGCAATCAAGATCTTCCCCGTCAGCTTCTCCTCCAAGTGGCCACACCTCGTGAGCCAGGCCACAGGTGCTTGGCACATGCGTGGAGGACGGGGGACTCATGTGTGCCCCAGGGGACACGTTCTTTGGCATGCAGTGTTGAGGGAGAAGGGAGCACTCATAGGTGGCTTGTGTCCAGACTCTATCCCCTCTTTGGGGTTGGGGGGAAAGGGAAGTTGTCGACTTCCATTCGTGTTATGGATGTGGAAGTTCCAGTACTGGAGGGAACGGTAGAAACTGAGACAGGCGTCTCAGGCTGTGGAATTGATTCCACTTCTCTACATGGGGAAAGCTCCCCAGTTGAAAACAGTGTCACCCTCCCACTCATATGTCCCTGTGTTTCAGCACATTGTGCTCTGAAGCCAGAGGACGTGTTGCAGGGGACAGAAGTACAGCCTGAGGATGGCTCTGCTTGCCAGCCAGCGGAGGGGCTAGGCTGTGACAGGGACAGCAGGTTACTGGATCATGCCAGCTGACCCTCCCACTCCCACCTCATCAGGGAGAAAATTGTTCCACTCTCTATTTCAACCAAGACTGTTAGCAGCCCTGCTGCCCGACAAGCCCTGGCATCTGCTGTTGCCCTGATGAAGAAGCCTCGCAAGTTGACTCTTCTGTCCCTGCTTCCCAGAGTCTGCTAGGCCGGTCCCGGCTGGGTCTTCAAACCACCCCAAGGAGACCTGGCTGTGCAGAGCAGGTTGCTCTTGTACTTGAAGATGAACGACTCTTCAGTTTAGCATGGAAGATTCCTTTCCTCTATTGCAAATAGGACACGCCCACCTCACTCGCTAAGGCAGGAAACCATCAGCTCATCCTTGGAAGCTCAACAGCGTAGAAAGCTCCTGTTTGCCAAACAGCCGGTTCCGCCTTTGTTCCAAGTTTCTGATGCTGGGTCATGTTTTGGTAAAGCAGGACACCCCACTACCCCACTGATGCTTCCCGTCCCAAGTAATTCTTCCAGATGCATCTCATTGAGCCATGGAGAGGAGGCGTGGATCTGGGAGGCAGTTGGTCACCTTTGGACAGAGCACCCTCCTGACTTATTTCCCTGCTTCTCCATGTATACCTTTCCCAACATTTTCATGTATTCACTCAGAAGATGTGTACAGTAAGTATGCCAGGCACTTACAGGTGCTGGGATGGATAAGACAAGGTCCCTGACTTCCTGGAACTTGCAAGTTGCTAAGCAGTACACAAAGATGAAAGAAATGGTTGTCTGTGCCTCTTTCCGAGTATTTGCAAATGTTGATTGAGCACCTACTTTGTTTTTGTATGTAGTGATGCATGTGATTCTTGTACAACCTGAAGATGTGGGCTCCACTGTGATCCCCGTTTTGCAGATGAGGAAACTGAGACCCTCTTCCTCCAAGGACTTATAAATGATAAAGGATAGAGCTGGAAGTCCACCTCAGACTGTTTTGGCTCCACAGTCTGAGCTGTTAGAAGGGAGAAATCTGTCCTGACCAAGATGATGGAGAGAGGGTGCCAGAGGAGATGGCATTTGAACTGGGCAATGTTGAGCCTAGAAGGTTGGGTGGGAGAGGAGACCTCACCTACTGAGGAAAGAGTCGGAATGTTTGGGACTATTCAACTGCAGCTTTTTAGGGTACGAATCTTCAATAAGCTTTTTCTCTATGAACAGAATTGTGTATGGAAGGAGGTAGCCGTGTACTCAGGCAGAAAAAGCGACTTCTTGTCCTCCCCCTCCTTTTTCTCATCTCTTCCTCAAGGGATCTTATTGGCTCTTCACTGTCAAAAGTGGATTAAATACCTCAGTCCTTGCTTTCTGGGATTTTACTAACGAGTCATTACTTTCAGAATTAAAGGACCTCCCAGCAACTGGTCTAAAACCAAAGGGCACCCTGCTGGAGATTGATTTTAAAACTCAGTGTCTAGATAAAATTGCATGTTCCAGCCACACCAGGGAATACTATGTAGCCATTAAAAAGGACAGGTTGATTTCTTCAGAACACTCTTAAAATCAAGTTCTACAGGAGTATGGTTAATAAGAATCCATTTGTGTTGAAATACATTTAAAACTTGTAGATTTCCATAAAGGAAAATCTAAACACATTAATAGTAGAATCTTTTGGAGTGAGATTGAAGGATACTGTTTTCTTAAGAAAAACGTTTAAATTTATACTTAATTTTAGTATTACAATGAGCATTTTTGTAATAAGGTATAAAAAATTACATTTTCTTTAAAAAGAGATGGTAGGGGAGATCAGGGTAAGCTCCCATCTGAGAGGAACCTGAGTGCCTTAGCTGGGAGGGGTTGGATCTCTGCACTGGATTCCTGCAGTGCCAGCTCCAGGGGTCCCCTTAGCTTTGTATCTGCTGTGGTGTCTTGAGGCAGATCTGGAGTCAGAACCCCTTGGGGCCAGTGTCCACCAACTGCTTCCATAAACTGCCTAGTGCTGGCTGTCCCAGAGGTACATCGATGGCCTTGAGTGATGGCACTGTGCCAGCCTTTCACTCAGAGCCGAGAGATGGATGCCCCTTGTCCAGGAGCGCAGTGGCGGCTGTGGCTGCCACGAACTTTGGGATGGGGCCAGGTTGGCAGTTTGTGGCTTAGTTGGGGAGAGCAGGCCCCTTAACACTCAAATACTTATTGCCTCTTGGAGGATCACCTCCAGTGGAGCTGAGGGCCTTCACTGTGTTCTGTTGTCTTACAGTTGCCAAAAGCCATTTCTCTGACAGGCCAGCTCCTTAGGAGTGAGATCTCAGTGCCTGTCAGATCTTTGCTCTCTGTCGCCCCCCCACCAATTGCTCTTGCTGTAGGGATCTTCTTAGGAAACATTCTTTGGATGAGGTTGGTGGTTAACAGATTTGAGTCCAAATCCTACTTACTAGTGGTGGGAATTGGCCAGTTACTGACGGCCTACTCCATCCCCTTAAGCATCATTTTGCTATCTATAAAGTGGCAACAACCCTCCCTTGCCTGGTGGTCGGAAGAATTAGAGATAATATTTGGAAAGTGCTCAGGCATTCACTCAGGCATTCAGTAGGTGTTGGTTTTCTTTTCTTGCACTAGTTGAGAAGAAAGATGTGTGCATAGGTAGATACTAGTATACCTAAGGCCCCAGCCACTCCTAAAAAATACTTCTATCCCTAAGAAGCATTTGGCACTGTGTAGCCTGCCCCACAATGCCCATGGTTCTTGGCACAATCTTAGGAATGATAAAAGGTACTCTGTCTTGACTACTGGGAGAGCGTTAAGGCGGCCCGTGCCAGTCACTTGGGTGTGAGAAAGGGAGGAGAAAGAGGCTTGTGTTGGGTAGAGACATCTGAGGCCTCTGGAGCCAAGGGAGCAGAGTCCTTGGCTGGGAGTGGGGAGTTGTTACTGTTTCTATTGATGATGACACTGAGCTGATGCATGTCAAGTTTTTAGAATACTGGGGGAGTCCATTGTAAACTCAGTGATGGAAGCTACTGTCATGAAGCTTAATGAGTAGTAGCTGTGTGCCCTGAGTTGCTACATGTTTATCTTACAGTAATCCTCTGAGGTAGGTGCTGCTTTCCTCCCCGCTTTTACAGATAAGGAAATTTGAGGCTCAGGGAGTTGAAGTAACCTGTTCAAGGCCACACAGCTAGTAAGTCCCAGAGCTAGGATTTGAATCCTGGTCTGTCTGGTTCCAAAGCCTCTACTCTTCTTTACCCTGTTCTCCATTCTGATGTCCAGTGACATTAGTTCTCATTCCACTGGCCCCAATCTCTTCTTGCTCTTGGGACTTTTCTGCTATGGCCCGCTTTGCCCCACTCTGTAAGCCAGACTTGGAGCTCCTCAGAATAAGGGAGTCTTCCCCAGGCTATGGCCTTGGGGGAAAGGGGCAGGAGTCTGGGGAGACATTGGCTGCTAATGCTGAAGACATGCATGCATGAGCAAATGCAGTGACTGCTATGAACTGAAAAATGGATTCCCCTCAACTGAGAGCGAGTCCTGATGACTGTGGTTTTGAAATGCATGCATTATTTATCTCGCACTTGGAAACATACATTGAGAAATTCTGTCCTGAAACTGGGGTGTGGTGGGTGGGTGGGAGGCTTGAAGACATAAATCTTATATGTAAGTTGCAGTCCATTACCAGATTTCCTTCAGCAAGGCCAGCATGTGGACTGAGCCTGGGGGCAAAGGTGTTGGGAGTGTTTTCCCTGCCTCTGCTCGAGGAAGGGGCAAGGGGGATAGGAAGAGCCGCTTCCTCCGAGGTGGCCCTCATGCCTCCCCTGTCTTCTCCCGCTCAGCTGTGCTCACCACCAACTTCATTGCAGCAGCAGCAGCTCCAGGCGCAGCACCTCTCCCATGCCACACACGGCCCCCCGGTCCAGTTGCCGCCCCACCCATCGGGCCTCCAACCTCCAGGGATCCCCCCGGTGACAGGGAGCAGCTCCGGGCTCCTGGCGCTTGGCGCCCTGGGCAGCCAGGCTCACCTGACAGTGAAGGATGAGAAGAACCATCATGAACTTGACCACAGAGGTGCGGCCTGAGCTGTGGCTGGGGACACAGGGTGGGGCTGGGCTGGGCATGGGTACCTATAGGCCCCATGGTGAGTGGACACAGCAAATGCTGCCACCCTAGGACCAGGAGTTAGCAAAAGATTTGGAGCCATCTGTTGAATCCCTGGCACATGGAAACCAGTGCCCCATCCCCAGGCACCATTCCCCAATCCCTGATTTGCACCCGGTACTCTCTGCCCTGGAAGACATCGTGTCTGTTCATCTGGAACACACCGCCCTCTTCCTAGCTACGCCCCTGCCCGTCCTTCAGGGGCTAGCCCTGGTCCCACTCCTTCAGAATGCCTTCCTAATCAGTCTGGGGGCTTTTTCCAAATTCCCATAAGAATTTAAGAGTTTGGGGGTTCCAAGACTGCGCTCTTTGTTACTGTCCTCTTATGTCCTGTCCCTGGAAGATGTTTGTCTTCACCGAGATCGTTGTTCTCTGAGGACAGGGCCAAGTTCCTGGGTGTTTCTATCTTAGCATATATGTCTCACTAATGCCAGGAGCCTTGGAAAAGGTGCACAGTTGGTGCTCAAGTGGACTTGTCAGTTGACCACTTTTAAGTGGGTATAGTGAGCACACTCCAGCAGGGAGGTTATTGGAAAGACTTGGAATTAGAACTTTTCCCCCAGCCCTTCACCCCAGCCAATATCAGGAGGACCCAGGAAGCTGTGCTGAGTTGGGGCTCAGGAGGGGTTAGTTAGATCAGGAATGGAGAGGACCTGGCTCCCTGGCAGACCCTTTTTAAAAGTTGCCACCTTGTGTGCCCTATCCTTAGATATTTACCCCAGGGCACATGGCCAAGGCTGTCCGAGCCCTCCTGAGCACCAGGGACTTGGAGGGTTACCATCTGTCCCTGGCACAGGCCACAGGGTGCTAGCAGGTCCTGGGAACTGGAGGCTAAGCTTTTTGTCAGTACAGTAGGATGATCCTCTTGGCAGAGGAAGAGGGGCCTCCCCACAGACAGGAAAATTGGGGAGCTAGTGCTTAGCTGGATGACTAATCAGAGGCTTCAGTTTCCAGGGGCTTCTTGGCAAAGAAACAGAATGGTGTTAATTTAAAAAAAAAAAAAAAAAAACACCACTCCCAAATTCCTCTTTTTTTTTTTTAAAAAAAGAAAGAGAAAAAAACAATGACGTTCTCAACTCTGAGATCTTACAGGTATTTTGTATAGCATAATCCTTCCCAAGATTGTGACTTTAAAAAGCTTGGTCTGCTAAAGAGTAAACTTGATTCCTTGTGGCATGTCAGGGAGAACTAGGCCAAAGGCCTCCCCGTCCCACTCTGGGGGCCAGTGGGGCGGGGAAAGCATTGGGATTGGGGTGGTTACTGTCCTCTTATGGCCCTGCCTTGGCTGACCCATAGAGATGGAGAGCCAGGCCTTCTGCCCATTTTAAAACCAGTGAACTAGCAAATCACAAAAGCCAGCTGACTTGGACTGACCTTTTTCCTTTCTTTTTTGTTTTTTTGTCTTGGGGGGCCTGACCTTCTTCCTGTCCTGGCCTTCCTTCCCCAAAGAGAGAGAATCCAGCACGGTAAGTGTCAACACTCTGGAAGACATGGATATGTTTGGGGTGCTGGGAAGATGAGGAGACTGCGTGGGCTCCTGGCCTAGAGGCTTGCTCGAGAATTGCAGACCTGAGACCAGCCAGTGGTGTACAAAAGCTGCCTTCTGGGTTCTGTACTGCTGTGGGTTGAAGCTGAAGGTTTTGTTGTTTGGTTACTTATGCCCAGAATTGGGAGATGTGGCTTCAGTGCTGTTGTGTTGGTGGTGATGTCTTAATCCAACTCAAGAGTGTGTGTATGTGTGTGTGTGTGTATTTTTTATAGTTAGAAAACATTCAACCATACCAGCTACAAGCCCTATTTAACTTGTCATTCTTTGCCCAGAGGTTGGTATTATCCTAGCTCTCCTCAAAACTTGTGGATGTTTACATTCTTCAGCCAGAAACAATATGAAAACTAGAGGCCCGATGTTAGTAGGCATACAGGTCTGACCCTAAAAAAGTTCTCTAGGGGGGGGGGGGGAGTAATTACTGCCATAAAATAGGAGTTGCTGTCACCTGTTGAGAGTGAGCTTCAGTTGTGGAAGCCCTTCATCTCACCAGGCCTTAGGTCCATCATTTGTCAAATTTAGCTCATTTGGGTAAATGAGCTCTAACTCTCTTCTGGAGAGGCCAGCTGACCAGCCCTGGGTTTTCCAAGGGGCTTTGTGAGGTCACTGGGTGACCTGCATCTGTACCCAGCTCTTGTATGGCTACCACTGGTTGCAGAAGCTTCCTTCCTCCTGTGCCCACTTCCCAAGAGGGGTCTCTGTGGCCTCACCAAGCATCCTGGAGAAGAGGTGTCCAAACCCAGGGGGGGTCTAATGCTACAAACCACACCCAAGTTCTGTGGCCAATTCCTAGCACCCTGTTTAGGAGGGTTCCAGATCTGAGGCCAACCAGCCAGCGCTGAGCCTAGGGCTTAGGATCCAGGTATCCCAGGTCCTGGGTCAAGGTTCTTACTTACCCCGCAGGTGGGATGCCTGCTATATGATCCTGTATCCTCCTTCTTCCCTTCAAATCCTGAGATTTTCTCTGTTCTGGGCTTTTACTTTGTTTAAGTAAGTGCTAGTAAGTGGGCATAAAGGCCAGGCCACCTGCCTGTCTGCCAGCTCTGAGATTTGTTGTAAATCTTTCTGATCACACTGAGGCTCCAAGGTTCTATTTCAAGTGAATAAACCTTCCGAATAAGCACAGTGAAGTCTGGATAAAAAAAATCCTCCAGCGATTAGCAAAGCTATTTTATTCCTCATCGCTGTCCTTGTATCTGGGGCCATCTAATCTGTTAGGATGGCTTTGGTTATTACCTCGTGTTAAGTAGGACTTGGAAGGTCAGGCAGTTAACTAACCATCTAGACAGAGGCTTCCTCGGCAGCTCCCTCTATCCTGACCTGCCTTATCTTCCAGGCCTTCCCTCCACCCAGGCTGATTTTTTAAACCTCCCATTATCAGTAATGCTGGTGTCTCTTCTCACCCTGCCTACGTGCTCAGAAATCCAGGTCTGTGTTTGGGCTGAGGAATGGCTAGGTACATAAGAAAGGAATAATTGAAGCTGAAAACCCATTTTGAATGCTTTAGTGTTGACCTTCCAATAGTGGCATTTTTGGAGAGGCAGTTTGCCTAGCTAGATAGAAGGAAGGCCTAGGTCTGGTCCCAGCTTTGTGAAACACAGGGTAACTCTTTTGGACTCTCTGAGCCTCAGTTTCTTTATCTGTACCGTGGGAATAATTCCTGCCCAGATGACTTGTCAGCTTTGTTAGGAAGACTATATATAATGGGACTCAGGATTCAGATTATCTGGTTAACTGGGATCCACTGCAGTGAGATGGGTGTTGGAAGACCAGCACCCTCCTGTCTTCACATGATTTTCATCCTCATTCCTATTTGCTCTTGGCTTTGTGCCCCGTCCAGGAAAGCTTTCTGCTGAAAGAAACCCACGGGGAAGCCCCAAGAGCGGAGCCCTTCACTCTACAGCACTCACTGACTCACAAAAGCATAGGGAACCCAGGCGGGCCACTGGAGAAGAAAATGGGAAGGAATCAAGACCCACCCTGAGGCAGGGGTGGGTGGGAAGGGTGGGCTAGGGGCTCAGGGTTGGGGCCCCAAGGATGTGTGCCTGTGCTGGTGGTGGGAGAGGGGTGTAGACTGAAATAATCAGCCTTTGGAAACCAGGTTGTCAACAGATGAGGCCTATGGCAGGAAGGACAGGGCTGTGTCAGAGTGGGAGGGGGATGGGTCGACGGGCTGGAAGCTGTCCCAGAGGGGTTAGTCTAGAGTCCAATTAGAGGTAGCTTCATTCATATTTCCTTGCCTAGCCGAAGCAATAAAAAATACTTAGTTTTTTGGCTGCCTGCCAGCCAGAGGCGGGCTGGATCGATGCCGCTAAATGCCTGACATGACTCTCCAGTAGCGGCAAGGGTTTTCAGCCTGACTGCATGAGAAGAAAGAGCTCGCTGTTCTCCGGAGCCGCGCACCGGGTCGCAAGGAGAAACATGAGCAGCCTCATGCCCCCTCCCTTCCCCGCCCGCCGCCAGCACAAGGGGCTGGAGCATTGCTGCTTAGCACAGGGTGGCCGCCGCCACTGTCGGAGGAAATGAAATGAAATGACGGTGATTTTTCTGCCGGCGCTTGCAGCAGCTAATTGAATTGCGGCTGTGCGCATATCGCCGCTGCTCTTGCACGGCTGTGGGGAAGGTTGAGCTGCAGTTCCATTATAACCTCCATTTTTTTCTTCAAGGCTTGGTAACTCTGCCATTTTAATTTGCTTCAGGCAGAAACTTGGCAGGGAAGGGCTGCCCAGAAAGCGGCTTAGGAAAGGAAATTAAGTTCTGCGGCTGGTTCCTGCACCATGCCCCTCAAACGCCACCCGTGGCGGGGCTGCCCACCCTCATTCCCTCCAAGTGACCCTTGCTCCGGAGCCAGCCTTGGCCTCTAGCAAAATGGGGACAAGAGAAGTGAAGGCCCATCGTGCTTGCCTTTTGATATCCTTCTCTTCTGAACTGACATCCCTCTGTGTCTCCACGACCTCCATCCCTCTGCACGACCTCGTCATGCATCTGTGCACTGCTTGGGGTGTGGATCAGCTGGCCTTTTTCTTCCCTGTAGCTAGACTGTAAGCTCCTGGAGGGCAGGGACTTTGTCTCACCATTCTCCCATCCCTGGCCTGACCCAGGGCAGGTGCTCAGGAGATGGTGGGTGAGTGAAGGTGTAGTTTGGGACCTTAGAAAGGAGTAAACCTCAGCAGCATCCTAGGGGGGGCATTGGCCTGCTGTTATTCTCTTGGCACAAAGGTTTGCTGGAAGGTGCCCTTGCCAGTACCTCCTCCTGCCCTGCTCTCCAAGCCACTCTCTCAGCTTACAGGATAGCTCCATTCCTAAGACTGCCTGTGAGTGATTCTCCTGCCTCGGCTGTCACCCCTCTTCCATCTTCCAGGCTGCCAATCCTGAAGGATGCTCATCCTCACTTGCTGAGTAGTTGAGGGAGAGCTCATTTGGTTCTTCATGGCCTCAAAAACTTAGATTTCCTTCTTGTTTACTTTCCTCTGGGGACCTTGGGCACATTCCCCAACCTCTCTGGGCCCTTCCTTTTCTTTAGACTACTGCAAAGGGGATGATTCCCCTTGCCCTGTGCCTTTCCTGTCTCTCAGAGGGAAAGGCTTCATGACGTTGCACTTTTTGTTTCTTATACCCCTTGTGTTTCTCCAGAGCTGCTGAGGGCCTCGCCGTAGAGGAGGAGGGTGTGCATACAATGTGCAGTTGCTCTTCTGTGATTAGGAAGTCACTGGCAGCCCAATGCTGCCCTTGCCTATCGATGTCCCCATTCCGTCAGGCTCAGCAGATGAAGTAGTGCTCATGGCCACAGTCTGTCGGCTCAGTGCACATTCCACTTACCCCTCCTGTGAGCACATAAGTGTGGTGGGCATGAGATGGGTGAAGACACAGGTGATCCTTACTCTTCCCAGAGCGTAGCCTCACAGGCCAGAAGGCAGATGACCCACTGCAAGGTTAATTATGCAGTAGCAGTGGCATTGCTACAAAAGAGAATTAGAGATGCTCCCAGGGTCTCTCCCAGAGGACCCAGACTAGGGAGTTGGGGAAGGCTTCCCTGGTGAGGCTCTGAGGGAGCCAAGACCTGCAGGACACATAGGAGCTGAACTTCCCTTCCCCCGCCCCCAACCTCCTGTGTCACCTGCACTTAGCGGTGTCTGTGGATATGTGAGATGTTACACCCAGCAAGATTTTCTACACAGATCCTCTTCTTGCTTCCAGAATAACTCGGTGTCACCCTCAGAAAGCCTCCGGGCCAGCGAGAAGCACCGGGGCTCTGCAGACTACAGCATGGAAGCCAAGAAGCGGAAAGCAGAAGAGAAGGACAGCCTGAGCCGCTATGTAAGTCCGAGGGTGCCACACGTGGGCACCACTGGGGCTTGTGTTGGAGGGATGGGGTGTCTGCAGGCCCACACTGGGCCTGAGTCTGCTTGGGGTTGGACAGTGAGGCAAAGAAACAGGGGTGGGGAGAAGCAGCCTCACTGATAAGGACATAACGGGGTGGGGGTCGGGGGAGGTTGACACACACACTGTGAGACTATGGGCCACTGTGGGGCGGGAGTGGAACGGGGGGAGGTCATCCTGGCCTCCATGGCATCTGGGGCCAACAACCCCATGCTGTTGTCACAGTATCCCCAGAATCCCAGTCTACTCCAAGAGGCTGTCTCTGACACCCTCACACTTTGACCCTGCAGTTCTCAGTCTTCCCAGGCATGTACCCATTCAACCACTTGATCATGGCTTTTAATAGCTTGTACTGTGATGCCCCCGGCACGTGAGACCCCAGTGGGAGCATGGCCGTCGGGCCTGCCCTGTGCCAGGCTGGGCTCAGTGGTCTTGCACCGTGCCTCGTCAGCCGCTTGGCTGCTCTGTGACTTTGGCCCCATTGCACACTTGAAGCTCAGCTGCATTTCTGTGAGACAAGGCTAATCACCCATGCTACAGAGTGGTGGGAATGATGAGATGAGAGTGGCACGCTGACTTGTGAGTGGTGGCCAACGTAAAACCAGCCAGAAGAAGGTTCTGGCTTCAGAGAGATGAGTGAAAGGGCAGGCTGGTGGGGAGGGGCTTAGAAACATTATAATGGGCGAGCATCAGTGGGGCTGCCTAGTGGGCTTGGGAGCAGAGCAGCTGGAGTGGCCCCATAGGAATGCCACTGAGCTGGAGTGGCCCTTGTGGGAGGGCGGGGATAGCATGGGAAGCATGGACTTTGGGGTTTGGCCCAGGTTCAGGTTATAGGCGGCAGAGGGAGGGGTGGAGAGGGCATGACCTCTTACCAGCCAGGTGGCTTCTCTCTCGGTTGCAGGACAGTGATGGGGACAAGAGTGACGATCTGGTGGTGGATGTTTCCAATGAGGTAAAGTCAGGCCTGGTGGCAGGGAGGCACTTGTTTTGGGATGGTTTGGGATTGTTCCCGCCCAGGGTGGGATCTGCTCTCTCTGTTCTGGAATTATGGCAGCCTGAGCAGAGTGACGAAGCCTCTGGTCTTGGGTGTCAGGGGAGTCAAGAGGAGCAGGGCAGGGCTGTGCTGCACTTCAGCTGGGCACTTGTGGCTACCGAGGTCTTCCTGCAGTGGGCCTCCAGAGAGAACCCTAGAGATTTCAAGATTTCAAGTAGGGGCCAGTTTCTGTTCCCCACAGTCCTCCAGGTCAGCTCTGCCCCCCACCCCTCATCTTGAGGTGAGGATTGTGAGCCCCAGGTGGGGGGAGGGGGTCAGTCTCAGTAAGGTGGGAGGAACTGGAGAGAATCAACAGTAGGCCAAGCCCAGCAACACCAGTTTGAGTCCTGAGCTTGGGTTTGATCTTGGCCAGGTCATTACTCCCCCCACTCCAGGCCTCGGTGTGTCCCCATCTGTGAGACGAAAGGGTCAGACTAGATTATTAAGAGCTAGTTGTCCCCGCCTCCTTTGGGACCCCCAGTTTTTCAGCCAAGCTCTTCTACCCATCAGCCCTGTCCTCTCCCTTCCCATTCCCAAAGCAGGGAAGATGCTAGTATGGTTGTGTTTTCAGTGCATCTCTGCATCCCTTGTGTTTTTAGGACCCAGCGACACCTCGGGTCAGCCCTGCACACTCCCCTCCTGAAAATGGGCTGGACAAGGCCCGTGGCCTGAAAAAAGACGCCCCCACCAGCCCTGCCTCAGTGGCCTCCTCCAGCAGCACACCTTCTTCCAAGACCAAAGACCTTGGTCATGTACGTAGAGTCTGCCCTGGCACCCTCTGTGGAGGCTGGGGAAGGGTGGAGGTGGGGGAAGGAGTAGAAAGTAGAGGTGTGCAGAGGCTGGAGCGGGTGCACTGGAAGGAACATGGGTGTGGGGACTGGCCCCAGTTAAATCCTGACTTTACCACCTACTGGCTGGGCCCTGCACTAGTTAGGTAACATTTATGAACCCTGGTTGCTGCATCTATAAAGTGGGAGTGATCGCTATGGTCCTTGCCAAATAAGGTTGGGTAATAATTGAGAGGCTGTTGGGCTGGCTCTGTGCTTCATGTGGGATTGGCACTAGAAATTGTGCCAGCTTTTGGGAGGAAGGAATCCTTATGGCTTCCCTTGGTCTCTGCATCTTACCTCATCAGAATGACAAATCCTCCACCCCTGGGCTCAAGTCCAACACACCAACTCCAAGGAATGATGCCCCGACTCCAGGCACCAGCACGACCCCAGGGCTCCGGTCAATGCCAGGCAAGCCTCCAGGCATGGACCCGATAGGTATAATGGGTAGGCACCATAGGGCACGGGCGATCTGATTGAGGGAGGGGTCTACCCCAGGCCAGGGCTGGAGGGGCGCAGATAGGCCAGAGCATGGGAAGTATGTCCAGCTGTAGCTCTCCCAGGGCCTGCCTGGGGGCTTCACAGTGAGGCTTGAGGAGGAGATGGATGCCTGGGACTACATAACTGATATCAGGGCTTACTGGGGCCGCTGCTGGGCCAGGCATATGGAAGGAGCATCAGACCCCCAGGATCTGTCTGTTCCTGCCTCTGTCATTAGTTCTGTGAGGCTCAGAACAAACCCCCTTTCTGGGCCTCCATGTTCTGCTCTGTAAAAATAGGTGGGCGCATCTCCTGGCTGTAACCTTCTTGGGCTGTGAAGGTAGGGATCCCGGTTGGCTGGGTTCGATCCGAGAGGACTGCCTGGAGCAGGCAGCTTTAGAAGCAGAAAACAGGGAGGCGGCCATGGCTTTGTCCTGGCAGGTGGGGTGGGGCCCACTCCCTTTGCTGGCCCCCTCCTCACTGATGCCCACCTCCTTGCAGCCTCGGCCCTGCGCACGCCCATCTCCATCACCAGCTCCTATGCAGCGCCCTTTGCCATGATGAGCCACCACGAGATGAACGGCTCCCTCACCAGCCCCAGCGCCTACGCCGGCCTCCACAACATCCCGCCCCAGATGAGCGCGGCGGCCGCCGCCGCAGCTGCCGCCTATGGCCGATCGCCAATGGTGAGCTTTGGAGCTGTACGTAGACCTTTTGGCTCCTTTTTTGGGGACTGGGCATGGAGTGAGTAGCTGGTGGGGGTTGAGGTGGTGCTCCCTGCATGCTAAAAGGGACCTTGGGGTCTCGTGACCAGGAAGCCACCCTTGTGGGGAGAAAGTTTATCGGAAACAACTGAGACTTAGCTGAAAGGGCTCATACTTTGGGGTCAGCAGACCTGGGTTCCACCCCGCTTGCCTGCTGGTCACCATGTGGCCTCACAGAGGTGGCCTCCCTGCCCAGAGCCTTTCTAGTCTAGGAAGTGGGGCCAATACCTGCCTTTCAGGGCACTGGTGGGGCTGGGAATCCTAAGATGGGTTAAGTGACTTGCCCATAGCAGGGGTTTGGTACCTGGAGCTGCTTGTTATAATGAGAGCTGTATGTTGTTATGGGTGAAGAGTTAGGATTTGTGTTGGTGGAGAGAGGGGTCCTTTTTCAGGACACAGCTTCTCTCTACCTCCTGCGCCTGGGGTGGTCTCCTCACCATGCCACTGGCCAACTGGGGACGCCAGAGGAGGAGAGAAGTGGGGTGGGACTGGCTCTGCCTTACAGAGCGGGGAGGATGCTGGCTGAGAGTTGGAGGTCTGCACTGTCACCCCAGCCCCGCTGCAAGACACTTGGCCCTCTCTGACCTGTGTTTCCTCTGAAACAGTGGGCTCTGGTCTCCTGGGTTCCAAAGATGCAGAGCTGTGTGGGCAGGGCCCAGCAGGTAGTGAGGAGGAGGTAGGGGTGGGGTGTGTGGCAGCAGCACTGACCGAGGGCTGCCTTGTCTTGCCTTACAGGTTGGTTTTGACCCTCACCCCCCCATGCGGACCACAGGCCTGCCCTCAAGCCTGGCCTCCATTCCTGGAGGAAAACCGTAAGCTTTGGCTATACTTACTGCATGCCTCATGGGGGAGGCAGGGCAGAGCACTCACCTCCCACGCTCACCTCCACAATCCCCCTACCCCGGTTTTCCCTAGTGCACATCCCCTTGGGAAGGTGTCTGTCCCTCTTGAGGCACTTAGGCCAGTTTGCAGCCTCAGGGAACTGCTGCCACACCATACTCCTGATCTGCCCCAGAGGCTCCCTCTAAAAGAGGTCTGAGGGAATGCTGAGTACAACATCACTGGGCTCTGGGAAAGGAGGAACACTCCTAACCAAATCACACGGAGCCACTGTGGGCCTTGGGGACTCCTTTGGTTTCCACCTCCTAGAAAGGCCCCCAGCACTGCTGGTCCCACACCCTCACCTGTCTCCAGCGTTTCCTTCCTCTGGAAGGCGTGTTCTCCCTTGCCCCTCACCTCCTTGGGTTGTTGGGGAATTAAAATGTTGAGCATACGTATAATGCTGAGACACTGCCTGACTTTTCCACGGTGCCCACATGATCAACAAGAATCTTGACCTTAATTGAGAGGGCACCCACAGTAGCCTAAAACAGCAGGCAAATCAAGCTTTTGGAGGGGCCAGCAGATTCCCCTTCCTAATACCACTGGCTCCTGAAGCAGAAGGTAGCATTTAAGCTAGGTCCTTACCAGGGTTGGCATGTCAGGGGAATTGACAGGTGGTGCGAAGCACCGTGGTCTGATTGGGAGCAAGGAGGTATAAATGGGAGTACAAATCAAGGTTAGTGTTATGCAGCCTCCAGCCTGGTGGAGCCATCCCAGTAACATGGGATTACTGGGTTCAGACCATTTCAGGAGAGAAGGACCTGGAGGCAGGGTGGCCAGCCAGGGGTGGAGCAGGTGGATCCAGGCAGGATCTATAGGACTGCGAGAGGCCAGGGATGGATGGCAGAAGTGACGGTTCTCACCTTTTCAGAGCATACTCTTTCCATGTGAGCGCTGATGGACAGATGCAGCCGGTGCCCTTCCCCCATGACGCCCTGGCAGGCCCTGGCATCCCGAGGCATGCCCGGCAGATCAACACACTCAGCCATGGGGAGGTGGTGTGTGCTGTGACCATCAGCAACCCCACACGGCACGTCTACACTGGGGGCAAGGGCTGTGTGAAGATCTGGGACATCAGCCAGCCGGGCAGCAAGAGCCCCATCTCCCAGCTGGATTGCCTGGTGAGAATCCTGAGGCTGCAGGCATCTGCTCCAGTGGGCAGCCTGGGCCAGAGGGGAGAGCCCCTCGGACCTGGCCTGGCTTAGTCCTGAATTGGCTGAGCAACTTTGGGCAAGCTGGCTAACCTCTCTGAGCCCTAGTTTTGTCCTCTGTAAGTGGGGATGATACTGTCCTCATGGGGTTTGTGAAGAAATGCATGAAAGATTGTAGAGTTGTGAATTTGAGGATTGGGGCCAGCCTGGCAGCTGCTGTGTATGAGGGGAGGCTGTGAGCAGGGGTGATGAAGGTGCTTGGTATCACTAGATGTGAATTTCCTGTTCCAGGAGGGGTGTGGGCAGTGTTCAACCCTGCCCCTTCTTCCTCCAGAACAGGGACAACTATATCCGCTCCTGCAAGCTGCTCCCTGATGGGCGCACGCTCATTGTGGGTGGCGAGGCCAGCACGCTTACCATCTGGGACCTGGCTTCACCCACGCCCCGCATCAAGGCCGAGCTGACGTCCTCAGCTCCCGCCTGTTACGCCCTTGCCATCAGCCCTGACGCCAAAGTCTGCTTTTCCTGCTGCAGTGATGGGAACATTGCCGTCTGGGACCTGCACAACCAGACCCTGGTCAGGTGAGGCCAGCAAGAGGAAGTGTTAGTGCCTTGTCCTGGGGAACTTCGTCTGTGTCCTGACATTGTGTGCTGTGACCTTAGCCCTGTCTGAAGCAGCCAGAACAGTTCAGATGAGGGACGCCTAGCAGAAAAGACATCTCAGTCTGCCTTGTGTGAGGGGCAGAGGAGGGAGGGCTCCTTGGGACCAAGAGTGTGGAGAAGGCTCTGGGGAGAAGGTGGAGCTGGAGCAGGTCTGGGAAGGTAGAATTCACGTTGGTGGACAAGCAGAGAGGCTGAGAGAACAGGCCTGGAGACCAGAACAGAGGAGCAGTATCACTTGATGGTTTAATGTGGGGCCTCAGAAGCAGAGATGCTGCATTAGAATCTTGCCTCCACGGTGACCTGTGCAAGTCACTTAGACCCTGTGCCTCAAGCTTCTCCCTGTAAGTTGAGGACACATTGAATACAAGCTGAGGCACTTCTCTTTTTAGTCATCTCATGAGAAAATTCTCCAGGGCCTTCCTCACCTTTCCTTGCCTCCAGAGCAGCATGGGCTCACTGAAGGGGCCACCCCACGGGGCCTCAGTCTCACTAAGAGAGCACAGCACATGGTGCCCTCTCTTCTGGCCTCAGTTTCCCCCTCTGCTCAGAGGCAGAGCTGGCCTGCTCCACAGGGATGGCTACCAGTGGGGCAGTCAGTGATTCCCTGGGGCTCACCCTTCCTCCCTGCTTGGCTTTCATAGACAGTTCCAGGGCCACACGGATGGGGCCAGCTGTATAGACATCTCCCACGATGGCACGAAGCTGTGGACCGGGGGCCTGGACAACACTGTGCGCTCCTGGGACCTGCGGGAGGGCCGGCAGCTACAGCAGCATGACTTCACTTCCCAGGTGTGCAGCCCGAGCCTCTCCTCTCTTCCCACAGAGTAATGTCTTCCCTTCCCTTCCAGGGTCCCAGTGGCCAGGTCGAGGGACAAAGGGTCCCTCACAGTTTGGTCATTTCCAGGATACTTGGGACCAACCTGAGTGATCTGGGAAGGCTTCCTGGAAGAAGCGGCTATGAAGGAGAGTAGAGAAGGCCTTGGAGTTGGACACACTTGACCCAACAGTGGGGATTTGATTCCTGGCTCCACTGCTGTTGAGCACTTTGTCCTCAGTGTCCTCATTCATGGGACAGGAATAGTAGTAGCTCCCTCCTAGGTCTGATGTGAATATCTGAAATGGTCCCTCTAAAAGCCTTTGTCATAGCCTGGCTCTTAGGAAGCATTCAGTATGTGCCAGGTATTGCTATTTCTGGTTATTTTTATTACTCACTTGAATATTTTAATCTTAAGTATTTAATATTTTCATGTTTTAGTTACTCACTTTTTTCGTAAGAAAATACAAGAGTCACAGAGAGAGAGGATAACTTTGAAAGTGAAATGTCTGTGCCACGCTGTCTGAAGCTTAGCTCTACCGCTTACTTTCTAGAGTCAGCAACCTCTCTGAGCCCAGCTTCCTTGCCTATGAAATGGGGGTGCAAAATGACATTCCACACCTCTGGGGTATTGGGTGTGTGTTGTGGGGGCTTTTATTGCAAATGGCATGGGTGGGATGGGGAGGGACTGTGCCCTCGGGGTACCAGAGCAGGGCCTTTGGGGAGCAGAGGGTGCCGAGCTCAGTCTGTTTCCCACCTCCTGCAGATCTTCTCTCTGGGTTACTGCCCCACTGGGGAGTGGCTGGCAGTGGGCATGGAGAGCAGCAATGTGGAGGTGCTACACCACACCAAGCCCGACAAGTATCAGCTGCATCTGCATGAGAGCTGCGTGCTCTCCCTCAAGTTTGCCTACTGTGGTGAGCCTCAGCGGCGGGTGGCGGAGGGGCAGCAGGAGTCCTGGCCCAATGGGATCAGCTCCCTGCCCTCTATGTACAGATGAGAAGCCATAGCTTATAGAAGGAGCACAGTCCTACAGTGAGAGGGCCCCAGAACCAGGCTCCTGCCTCCCAGCCAGTGCCCCTTCAACATCCTTTGGGGATCTTGTTGCCCATTCTTCTTCTGCTGATGCAGATGTTACCATGGTTACTGAACTCTCAGGACACTAGGCCAGAGCCAGTCTTGGCCATCCTGGGGCACAGGAACAGTACATAAAGCAGTGCAGGCAGTTCCTCCTGGTTGTTGTGACCAAAGCCTTTGACATCTGAAAGCCCTGGGCTGGAACATCTGCTCCTCCACTGACAACACCTCTCACCCTCTCTGAACCGCAGTGGATTTTTCCCTGTGGATGGGAACAGCACGGTTCCTGCCACATGGCTTTGGGGGGCAGTAGTGCGTTCGTCCCCATACAGCCCTGGCAGAGAACCTGCTCAGAGGAAGGGTGTTCACTGACTGCTGTCTTCATCTAGGTCTCCAGAGCTTTGATATTTCCAATACTTCCTGTTGCCTTCTAGTAGTAGAATTCAGGAGGGTCAGTTGACCCTGGTGGCCTTAAGAATCTTCTGGGGGAGTATATTAGGTGCGATTAACTGCAAATCCTACTATTTCCCATCCCAACCCCTATCAGCCCTACCCTGGATTGCAGAGAAAGGTGTTCTCTGGGTGTCTGTGTGTCTTGCTTATGAAATGCCTCTCGTGCTGAGCACTGTTTAGTAGTTCTCACCACATTTCCATGGCAGCTGGCCAGTCTGGGGTGGGTCTGGTTTTAGAGGGCAGCCAGTCACAACCTGACATTTCTTTGCCTCCTGCCTGCAGGCAAGTGGTTTGTGAGCACTGGGAAAGATAACCTTCTCAATGCCTGGAGGACGCCTTATGGAGCCAGCATATTCCAGGTAGCACCCACCCGTGGTGATGGGGCAGGAATCTCAGGAGGCAGCGTGGGAGGAGCCTGGAGCCAGGATCAGACCTGCCCTGGCCCATTCCCTGCCCCTACCTGATGGGGAACCAAGATGGGTTCTCTAGAGGGGGAGGACATGGGGGCCTCAGTGGGACACGCTCCTCTGCTAATGGCTTCCGACCCCCGAGGATGAGGGCTTTTTTAAGCAGGGGCTCTTTGGGATTTAGAAAGTGAGGAGGAGTAGAAGTGCTCTTTGCTCTGGCCCGGATGCTGAGCACTCGCAGAAGGTACGCCCAGCAGCTGAGCCCTCCAAGCTTAGCTTCAGAGCAGTGTGTCCACCTAGTCATGTAGGTTAGTTCCAGCTCCACGAGTCAATATCAGGAGAGGTGGGGCAGGAGAGGAAGGGTCCGAAGAGAGAGGGGAGGTGAGGAAGAGGCTTTATATAATTTCTCATGATCTGGGGCCCACCGTAGTGTACTCACATGCACAATGCATACACACACATTCACACCCACACCCTTTCTCACGGACAGTCACCCACTCACGTGCACACTTGTTGATTTAGACGCATGCACAAGCACAACTCTCAAGCTCCCTCAGCCAGCAAGCCACTTTCTGGGCCCCTGCTGAAATGTCTGGTGCTTCTCTAGTTACACCAAATGCTTTGAAAATCAAGTGCCAATCTTTTCCCTGCTCTGCCGGCTGAGGGTGTGGCCTGCCAATGCTGCTCCCAGCTCAGAGATGCGTCTTCTAGTTTGTAAACTGAGAAGAGGAGCTCATGCTAATGTGTTCTATTTTGATCTTTACAACTTATTTTAAAGATCACAGGGGAGCCTGGTAATGAGCTTTTCCTCATGGAAAAGCAGGTGGAAATCGGGCTGGTGGGCACTGCAGCGAGGGGAAGAGGAGGGCAGTTGGATTCAGAGCACAGGGAGTACAAAGTGGCATGGAGTACTAAGGCACGCATTCCTCTCTCTTCTCTCCTCTCCTCGGCCGCCTCCTCCAGTCTAAGGAATCCTCGTCTGTCTTGAGCTGTGACATTTCGGCGGATGACAAATATATTGTAACAGGCTCTGGTGACAAGAAAGCCACAGTTTATGAGGTCATCTACTAAACGAGGACTCTAACAGGGCTGTCGAACTCTGGGAGAAACCGACTCGGCTCTGACAGGGAGACCCCGGGCGAGGGACCCCAGGACGGCGGAGGCTGGGCCGCGGGGAGCCGAGCGTCCCGGGGCTGCGCTCCGGCGGTCTGAGAGGGTGCGTGCCTGTCATGGGCTGGACTCCTGGGCATGGATTGATGTGTCTCACAGACTCGGATGGATTTTTCTCCTCCTCCTCCCCCTAACAATGCTGGCAGATGCTACAAATAGATTTATTTGGAGGCTTATGGCTCTGGTTTCCCACAGACACCCTCATGCATCTCTGTGTTTTCTTCCCCTTTCTTTGGCCTTGGGTCGGGGTCACTGGAGTGGACCACATTGTTGTGCTGGGGGAGGGGGGATCTCTTTTTCCCAATCGTGCAGTGCACAAGGTTTGTGAAAAATGTAAATAACAGACTCCTATTACGGACTGGTCAGTGGGGGAGGAGGCCCCTTCCCACCGGAAACTCACACTTGTATCTCGCCTGCTGTATTTGTAATCCACTCGTGGTGGTGGTGGTGGCTTTTTTGTTTGTTTGTTTTTTTAAACAGACGATCCCATCTGGGCAGGGGAGGCAGAGAGGGGCGCAAAATGAAGAGGGAGTGGAAAGGGGAGAAAAATCTTGGGGTGGAGAAAGGAACTGTGGTTGGCCCAGACTGACCATAAAGTGCCCGCTGGAATGCGCATGACTGTGGCTGTGGGGATTGTCCAAGGCGTGTCTGCACTGCCAGACAGACCGAATGACTGATGGGCAGTGCAGAGGTGGGCCAGCCGGGGCTGACGTCTCTCCATGGTCTCTTGCATCTCGCTCGCTCTCAGGCGTCTGTCTCGCTCTTTCTCTCTGTCTCTGTCCTCCTCCGCCTCAGTCTCTCTCTTTGGTGCACAGTCAGTTATTGTGATAAGTGGAAGTTGAAAGAAACTCCTTTTCCGGCTCTTAATCTTCTGACACAGCCTAAAAAGGACAAAAAGTTAGAGGAACGCATAGCAACTCAGCTCAGGGAGCTACCAGAGAAAAATAGCAACTGATGTGGGTGCTTTTTTTTTTTTTTTTTAATTTGAATAAAACGAATTAGAAGTGATGTCCTTTTATAAAATGCCTCTCCCCTTTCCTGCCTACAGCCCCTTTCTCTCCCTCTAAACGGGGAATGATGTATTAACCTACAGGGTTGTAAGTCTGAAAGTTTATCTTCCCCTCACCCCCACCCCGGGCAGGGCACTAGGGGCTGGGGGCTGGGGTGGGGGGACATGGGTCCTGGCACACTATGGTGATTTCTTGCAGCTTCAGTCTCCCTTATGGGCCCCTACAGGTTACAGGGAGAGTATCGTCTCCTGCAGGTACCATGTCTTGGTACCAAAATGTTCTGAGGTATTAGGATTTTGTTTGTTTCTTTTGGTCTTTTTTTCTTCTTTTAAAGAAAAGCTGAAGGCCGTGAGTCCTGGTGGTGGGCTCTCCATGGATGTAGCATATGGAAGATAATTTTTATACTGCATTTTTATGGATTATTTTATAATGTGTGATTCTGTCTGGTGAGAAGGAAGGAGGGGCTCCAGGAACGCTGCTCGGCGCCAAGCAGCTCCCCTGCTGGGACATGGAGGCCGGCGTGGCCCCTGTACCTTTCTGAGGCTGGGGGCGTGGTTGTCTAGAGTCTCTCTCTGGGTCTCATGTTCATCTGCCACCTCTTGTTAAGGCTCTAGCCAGAAGGGAGGGTGAGGGTAGAAGAAAGTTATTCCTGAAGAAAAAAAGAAAATGAAAAGTCATTGTAATGATCTGTTTTTATATTTTTAAAAGTTACTATTTAAAGGTTGGTTTGATTGTTGTGTTTTAATTGCCTCTCCCTCTGGTTTGTCAGTCCTTCCCAAGAAGAGCCGGGGACACTGTCACCTTCGAGAACCTGGACGATTTCCCTTGTCACACGAGCCCCATGTCCATCTGCATGCGCTCTTCTAGGCACATCCCCTATGGCCCCACCCCCTAGGAAATCTGATGGTGTGGGACACTTACAGGGATTGCTTTTCATGGTCCCCGTCCAAGCACCAGGGAGTGGTGGGCTGAGGGCTGGGATTTCCTCTGGACAGATGGGCAGGACAGAGGTCACGAAGGGGAAGGAAGGCCACAGGTTAACACCAAAGTATTGTACAGCTGTCAGTGCAAAACTTTTTGGGAAAAAATTAAATGTAATGAACTTCAAGTGAAACTTCAAAGTGTCTATGAACATCTGGACCCTCAAAACTTGCACTGTTTTTTTTAAAGTTTAACAAATGTAGGTGTGATGAGGAGACCCTCAACCTTTAGGTCACAAAGGTGTTTTTGAGTGACTCAGAAGGAAGGGTTTGCACACAGCAGGGGCCGACCAGGAAGTGCGCATCAGTGTCCCTGGGGAGGCGGGGCTGGGGTGGACAACTACGAGGCAGTGCTAGATCCTGCAGAAGCCCCTGGGGTGGGTCCCAGGCGCTTGGATTTCACGCACCCATTAGCAAAATGTCTCATAGAACTGGAGACTACATGACTTGTCAAAATCATTATAAATCAGCACAAACAATTGCCTGCTGTCACTTCATACAAGAAAGGGAGTTTAACATTTAAAAGAAGGAGTGACAGTCTCAGAATAGAGCACAGTATGTACTAGGAAAGACAGCTGGCCTCTCCACTCACAGAGGGGTCATTTGGCTAGAGAGGGATGTTCCTCTGGGGCTTGTAGAGGAGAAGCTTCCTGCAGGTAGGAGGAACCTGACCTGAGCCGCAGCCTCAGCTCGATCTTGATTGGTTGCCTTGGATAGAACATCACCCCCGTGAACCATATGTTTTAAGTTTGTCCAGGTCTATACATTGCAGCCAAGGGCTAGAGGGCCAGGTGGCAGGCCCTGGCCATAATGAAATTCTGTATGTGCCCAGGGCTTGGGGTTACCCATGGGTGCCAAGATAGGACTGGAGTTGTGGCTTGCAGACCCCACATGTGGAAGAGGAAGATGTCTATCAGTGAATGCTCACTCCAGGCTTGAACTACTGGGCAAGAAGGCCACTGTGAGTCCTGTTACTGAAAGGGAGAGACTTCAATCTCCAAAAGGCTGCTCCACCATGATTTCATGGGGCCTGGTCAAGGATGGAGAGATGACCAAGATTCAGTCCCTGCTGCCATAGAAACTCACAGTCCAGGGTGTGAGGAGAAGGTACAGCTCCTTTTGACCATTAAGCGGTGCTGGGGACCCTTCAGCTGGTTCTGTTGGCATCCGAACTCCTGCCTGTGCCCATTGCCGCAGACCTTGCACAAGCTCGCTGAGCCTCCCCTACACGATTCTCCCACTGCACGTGCTTCCTCCTGTCTCTTCTCTCCACCCACCACTACCCTCCCAACGCTGTTCACGCAGCCACAGCCTGTGGTATTAGCTACATCTGGGAGCTGGTTAGAAACTTGGAATTTCAGCCCCTCAGTCCCACTGAAGCAGAATCTGCATTTTAGTGCCTCACAGGTGATTCCTGTGAACACGAAAGTGTACTAAACCCTCTTCTAGTCTGTGGGGATGGGCCGCTCCTGGTAAATCCTACCCCCACCCTCAATCCTCCCCACCACGACTGTCTATTTAACAGGGTGGCAGGAGGCCTTGATAGCCTTTTTCTAGCTATTTTTTAGTCACCCTCTTTTCTTATGCAAAACCCCAGGTTCATACCAACTACAGCATTTGCAAGATTTCCCTGCACCTATTTGCATTTCTGTCTTTCCAGCTAAGCTAATTTCCCTGGAGGGCAGCACACAGGATGCCATGGGTCCAGGGCAGTACTAGTGAATGATGAGCTTTCACTAGGTCGAGATTATTCTCATTCACAGTGCCTGGTGTAGTACCCGGGGCATCGGTGCTCAGCAACTGAAGCCAAGAGAAGTGAAATGCTATCTGGACTTCTTTCAACTCTATTGTGCTGCCTTTGCTCAAAGCAAGATCTGTTTTTTAAAAATGTTGGGGCATGGCTGTCAGAGGCCAGCTTTAATGGCTTTAGTTCCCATTGGTAATATACAAATGTCCAAGTCATTCTTGGTGGTAGCTACTCCTTCTGGCATCTCTCTGAGACATAGCCCATCCCCAGCACAGGCAGTGACCGTCTCGTAGGGTCTATGGGCAGGTACAGAGATAAAGAGAACTGGTGCAGGAGCTAGAAGGGTTATCTGGTGTTATCAACTGGCCATCAAATATTCCATGATGATGAAGTGTAAATCTTTTTCCAGGAACATAGTGCTTGAAAAAAAACATTATTTAAGTATAGCAAACAAACCTGATTAAACTTGTTTTATTTGTATGGACAACAGAATTATGAAATACCGTTTGATTTTTTTTGGTGATAACAATATAAAATATTCTCTATAGCCATGAAGCATGTTAAAACATTATACCAATATCGGGCCTTTTAAATATGAAGGGACATCTATACTGAGCCCCTGACTTTTTATAGATGGGACAATTAAGGCCCAGAAAGGGTAAGTGACTTACCATGGGTTACACAGCCTGAGCCAAGATTATGACTCAGCACCGCTCCCTCCCCTAAACCCCTAGCACACTTAGTGACGGAGGACAGGAAGCCAGGAAGGAGTTGTCCAGTGAACAAGACTGAATATGATGTTGTTTGGAGAGTTAGTATCTAGTGAGCAAGGCCTCTTGCCCCTTCTCCAGCAGGAGTGGTGAGAAACTTCTTCATGAAAGGGAGATGGCCCAGAACAGTCATAGAAACCAGCCTCCTGCCTCCAGAACATTCTAGAATTTGCCCACCCATCTTGCCCATCCTTCCATGCATGCATTCATCCGTCAGCTTAACCACCCACTCATTTATCTATCCACCTTTCTACTCATCTATCTAGCCGTCCTATCCACCCATCCATCCACCCAACGTTTAGGTAATGAGTAATAAGTGTCAGGCACGGATCTAAGTGTGAGACACAAAGACCAAGAAGACAATGCCTGCCTTCACAGAGCTCTCAGCCAGCTGGGAGAAAAAGTCACAGAAATGGTCACTCCATGAGATCCGAGAAGGTACAAACCAGAAAAAGTCACAGCACATAGCTGAGGCATTAACTTGGATGTGGAGAGGCAGAGCAAGGGGTTCCTGGGAGAAATGAGAGCTAAAGAATACAGTTGGCGTGCCCAGGGAAGGTGGGGAGGTAAGTGTTGCACGTGGAAGGAACAGCATGTGCTAAGGCCTTGAGTAAGAGCACAGTCCTAACACTGTGCCCCTACACAACCCCGTCTAGTTCCTGCTCCTCCCCTGCCCTGGCTCCAGTACAGCTTGCTTAAATTCCAGTTCTTTCTGCTGTTCCCCGGCCAGTCTCTTCCAGTCTAGAGGCCAGCTAGGATTACAGGCTGAGCAGGCTGGTGAAATTCAGGAGGGGCCTGGGCAGAGGCCAGGGTTCCAGCCTGAGCCAGGAGAGGAAAAGGAATGGGGACAAGATGGAAGGGGGCTGCAGCTCAGGGACCGAGAATGCACATGACGATCCCAAGGCTCTGGGTCCCCAACGTGATTGGCATTAGAAGACCTAGGGATCGCACACTGGATCGATCACGAGACATAAGCAGTCCCTGATCTGGGTGACACACCTAAGCCACCACCACGCTCACACATCTGGCTTCATCATTCCCCTGCTCGCGGCCACTCATGGGCCTCTACACAGCACGTGGCTCAACTGCTTAGCTCATCCAGGCTGGCCCAGCATCTCAAGTCGTCTCCACCACCTCTCTTGCTTCACTTCACACACCACCCACACACCACCTTCCAGGGCCCTAAAAACACTGCTCTCCTGTGTTATGATTTGCATGTGCTTCTTTTCATCCAGGAATGCCCTGATCCTTCTTTGAACTCCTGCTCATTCTTCAATGTCACTTCTTCCAGGAAGTCTTCCCTGACTCCCCACTCCCCGACTCTCGTGTTCTCACAGTATTCTTTGCCAACTCCATGTAGTGCATACCAAGCATGGTGTATTTTGGCCACTAATTTAATTATGTCATCCTCTCTCCTGATGGCTGTCTGATCCTCCCACCAGACAATGAGCTCTCTGAGAACAGGGACTTTGTCCTATATCTCCAGTACTTAGCACATAGTAGCTGCTCAGGAAATGTTAGTTGAATGAATCAATGAGTGTGCAATGAAGATGATAGCTAATATTTCTAGAGGGCTTAGTGTCAATCAGTGCTTCATAAATATCTGTTCTATGAGGTCATTGCTATTATATTCATTTTATAGATGAAGGAACTGAAGTTCAACTTGCTCAAGATCACATGGCTTGTAGGGTTTGTATGACATTGCTGCTGGATGGATGGAAGGATGGATTGACGGTGGGTGGGTGGATGGATGGGTAAGTGGATGGATGGATGGATGAATGTTGGACTAGCTGCCTCATGAAGACTGGCTCAGAAGCTAGGAAAGAATTATTTCCACAAGTGGAGGAGGACATCGGTGACCTTGGGGTGAAGAGCATGGGAGGAAAAGTCAGGAGACAGAAGCACCCCCTGCCCAGCTCAGGCCTTCCCCATGTCCATTAGGGCACCTTTGTCAATTCCCAGAATGTGCCCCATAATGTGCTTAACTTGACCCTGACTCTCAGCATCCCCTCTCAAACAGGTTAGACAGGGCAGGGCTGATGGCTCATAAGAGGGCCCTTGGGAGCTCCTGGACTGCTGAGAGCAGATAGAAGAATGAGGATGGGGGCTGTGGCCTTGTCTCTCCTGGATATCACAGATGGAAGCTGCCCTGTGCAAGCGTTTGGTGACAATAGGTGACAAGACTTGAAAAGAGCAGGTCTGGAATTTCCAATTCTGGCAAAT